GAGAACGGTATGACTCCTAAAGGCCAGCAAAACCCAGGGCCTTAATGGAGCTGTCTATGAGAAGAAGAGCAGGTGATAAACCTAGAAGACAGGACACATTCCAGAATATGAGCACAGCACCTCTTCCAGGTAAGGACGGTTCTGAGCATTGTCAACATGTGAACACAGACCACATTTAAAATGTCAAACAAAAACCATGCTATATGGTCCACCAAGAACACTGAGTTTATAGTGAAATTTATTGTTCTGCTTCCTAATACAATAAGCTACAAGGTACATACAGTATAAAACGAGAACGGCCACAAAGCAAAGGTGATAAACATTCTGTGACGGTACAGTGGAGGTAACGTCTGTCTAATCCTTCCACTTTATCCCACAAACAGCAGCTAAAACTACTGGCCCTCCCCCTCCCTCCCCTTCAAAAATATTAAAAAGTAAACTGTCTCTCTCACTTCGGAGCAGCCGGATTCATGTTTTTTTTGAGGGCTGGTTATCTGCCAACATCTCAAGAAAACTGCTGAAACTAAAGTAACAAAGAAAAACTGTGAAGGTGGGAGTGACATGACCCATGCAAGATGCTCATGACACCTTGGTTCACTTCTCAGAGCAAATGGCCTGTAAAGAAAGGAAAAGTTTGTTACACCAAGTAAAACAGCAATTAATGTGGTCAGAGTTAAGATACAGTAAGCAAAATCTGAACTAGACAGGACTAGGCACACAGTTAAACTACTCTTTTAATGCAAACATAATCTTCCTGTTAATAAGGTTTGGAGATTCATAGCTGACAGTCCTTCTCCTTTTATTTTTAGATGCTGTACAGGAGGGTGCACATTAACGGGGGCACAGCTGACACCTATTACACAAGGCCCCAAATTAATGTCTGGGCGAACTCTAACAATGACATGAACTGCAACCTCAACTCTTAAAACTTTAAAAACATCAAGACTATAAACATGCAGGAAGACTGAATACTTACCTTAAAGGCACAAAATTCCATTTAACCACTTTTTCATATATACTTGGTGCGGTTGAGGGCTCTCTCAGCAAGATGACCACTTTCATCTGTTATCTTCTCCCAATCCGTTTGTCCAACAACAAAACCAATGGCCCTTTTCCTGTCTGCATCTTTTTTTTCTTCTAGATCTGCCCACCGCACCTACGGAGAACATACTATCAGTAGAACAACCTCTTAAGAAATCCTGAGACAAGTCTAGGCTTTCCACTGCAGATAAGAGTACAAGAATTCTAATTTGCACCCATTTTCATTCAAACAGGTAAGTATTAAATTGTTTTCCGATGGGTAAAGATGGAAACTACTCCAGTTACATTATTTTTAATTGAATATCCCAGGAGTTCCATGGAGTAGAAGAAAGGTACAGATTATTAGCCTTTTCCTTTCAATGCTATAATTCTGAGAGCTAAAGTGTAATTACTACAATTATTTCTCTGTTCAAAGCAATGCTTTATGCAGGAAGACTTATCAAAGATTCATTTAGTGTCTTCATTTTCTGTACAACCTGTCTTTCAATTGCACGATGGAAACATCCAGAAGATGACTATGAAACTACAGAAAAACAGTGTTAAAGAGCAACTCAGCAATGAATGAGTGAATGAGGGACAATTTCCTTCTCTATCTTCTGTGATACATTTCTATTTAAATCTTTCCACTATTTCTTTACGCTAAATAACTTCTTCACGCATGTGTTATCTCCCATCTTTACAGCTGCAGCCATCTCCTCTGTGGCTCTTCATGGTCATGCAGATCACTTGCATTCATCCTGTTCAATCCTGTTCAAACATATACAGTCACTCCCTCACCCACAAACCCAGACGCCAATGGGAGGGAGTGCAACAGGGAGGAGGGAGTGAGGGAGGGGATGATGAAGGCCTACAGTCCAGAAACTCAGCTGGAACACACTGTTGCAGGACAAGAAAAAACAGTAAGTAAAGGAGCAATTCCTTGACATCCTCACTGACTAGTCCCATCCAGGCTGATTTGTTACCTGGGGACATAGCCTTATCACCTTTCTGCCAGCACCTCCCTACTCCAGTTTCTACCTGGACTTCCCCAGACATTCCTCCTGCTAAGCAATGTCTGCCTTCTTCCACCATCACTTCCTCTGCCAATGCCTTAGTATCTCCACTTCTCTCACGCACACTGTTGTCCGGTACTACCCATGTTTTCTATTTGACATTACAGAACAAAACAAAGCCCAAACACCAACAGTTAACTCAAATTACTTTTAGTGGCAAAAGCTGGTCTTTCTATTTTGGAGACAAAAAAAAAAAAAGTATTACCTCTTCCTATTACCTCTCCTTCATCTTCCTCTATGATTTTTTGCCCTTTTTTCCACAATGGTATTTGAAGATGTAGCATTTTGTGTTCAGAACAGAACTACATACAAAGTGGTTGAAGCCAACTTCTTATACATCTCCCAAGCTTTATACAAGGTATATGCAGGAGGCAACGTCTACAAGACTTAATTGATATAAAGCCTACATAGCTGATACTTTCCTCAGCTGAATCTTTTTGAACGTAAGAACAGTGTACTGTTTCTCTGTCTACTTATTACAAAACCTAACAAAAAAAAAAGCTTAATAAAATAATCATCTAGTCTTGGAATCTGCACTGTACATCACACTATCTCATCACAAAACATACAGCATAAGAAAAGGACTCTACGGGTTGCTCTGAAACAAAGTGCATCTCCCCCAGCAAGAAATGGGACATGATTCCATTCTCAATCTCAAAAGCCACGCCACGCATAGTTAACCTTTATTATCTCCAATTCCTCACTTCGTTATAATTAATCTGTTTACCTCTGGAAGACCCTACTCTCAAGAATATTCTCTTACAGAATCTAATGGAACAGCAAAATGAAAAGTGAGTCAGCGAAACTGCCATATTCATAAACACTGAATGACTTGATACAAACTCTTTTTCACAGAGACCGTTAAATGGTTATACACAGACAGTAAGTCATTTGAAAATTTATTACCCTTTTCTTTCCAGGTTCAGAAGCACGTGTATCATAGTCATCTGGAAGCTGTAGATAATCTTCCATTCTGCTGGCAATTGCTTCCCAGTCACGTTTCCTTTTAGTGCCAGTCCGCAAACCATCCAGCTTGTCTGAGAACAAACACAGAGTCTCAGAGTTAAAGGAGAATTTTTTTCCTATTATTCACACAAACAAGATGAGTGGAAAAATTTTCAAAAGAATGAGCAGCAGAACTTGTACATCCTTGTCTTGACAGGTGGAATGAGAGTTGAAATAAACTAGAGAAGACTCAACGCCATTTTCAAGTTTTATTGATCTTTCACATTAACTGTGTAGCAATAACACTCAGTCTTGTTATTTGTATGAGGGAGAAAAGCTTGCTCTTCTGGATGTTCATACTATATGGAGTCTGTCCTTACAGGTACAATATAGCCACCAGTAGCTAGGAACCACAGATCCACCTTTCTGTATTTGAACGCAATACTAAAGCTGTAGCATTTTCCCCAAATTGGGGGTTTAATACTGTGTCAAACATGGCATACATGCAGTATCAGGGAACAAGTGACGATCATATAATTTAATGCAAAGACAAGTTTTTGAGATACTGTTTCTGCTAAACAAAAAGCTCCTTGGAAACCCTGATCCCCCCCTTTCTTTTTCTCTCCCCACAAGGAAAACACACTCAGAAAATCCTCCAGGACTGGCAAAAAAAAAAAAAAATATCTGAGAATCTTTTGTTTCATGGTGTAAGAGGTCAGTCATGAATATTTGAGCAGTACGTTTGTCCAACAGTCATCATTTTCTTCTTTTTCTTATTGAAGCAATAAGGCATGAGGAGAAACAATTCCATTCCTAGGTTCTAAAATTTTGTTCCTCTTTGGACACTTATTTTCAGTGAAAAAACACCACCTTCTTGAAATTATGTGGCAAACTGCTTTTGAAAGGAGATGAAGTATTCATTGTAAGATTATGAACAACAAAGTATGAAAATGAAAAACAGCTTTACAAGTCAAAGGAAATCCTAGTACTTCTGTCAATGTATGCTACCATCTTATAAGCCAACAATTCAAGTATATGCAGAAGGATACTAAGGTTGGCAGTTATATTCTGTAAACCATTTCCAGTGATGTCAGTAACATTGTTTCAGAAGTCACTGATGTAATTAAATTCACTCACAAAAGGCCTCAGAAATAAACCAAATACAAGGCAGCGTATTTTCTGGATAGCAGAAGTGGATGTTCAAAGATATGTATTTAAAGAAGTTCAGTTCAGAGATGATTTTTTTTACTTAATATGGGAGAGAAAAGAGCAACAACGGAGATAATGTGAGGCAATGGTGATGTAGACATGCTAGTATAATTTAAATGCCATAAACAAATGAAGTAATTTTTCCCTCATACAACTCTAAAATTTTTAAAGACTCCACCTTTGCCCCATTTCCCTGGAACAGATACAGAATTTCTTCTAAGAAAACATTTTAATCCCCCTCTGCCTTTTAAAAAAGCCAACATTTAAGAAAACTCTGCAGAATTTTTGTATCTGTTACATGATATCTGGTTACATGATTCAGTTAAGGTTGTTCTTTTGCTCTAAGTTAAATCTGCCAAATTTGAAGCTCAATCTCCACAGAAAGACGGCACTCCCTCTAGAAGACAAAATTGATTTATACAATATTCCTCTGTTACTCCAGCACATAACGTACTTGCACTATTCTTCAGTATTACTCTCAGATCAATCAGCGAAGATCATTCGCAGCATAAGGGTTTCCAGAAAAAAAAGACATTGAAAAGGAGAGTAACAAATGCATTGAGGAGCATTTAGGAACATGGAGAACTGAAAATTCAAGAGCTCTCTGTTGGCAAGTATCTGTACATAGACATATTCCTGTTGGAAGGCAACATGATAAGATGCAAGCTCATCTCATTACCAATGGGGAAGAGAGTTCAGTCTCCCACTCCCTGCTGCACACAGACCAACTGAAAACATCGCCAAGAAACGTGTAACTCTCAAACATCAACAGAGGAGTTCAGGAGGCGTGCAGAGTATGAGGTTCCCCTCTGTCCCTTTTTGTTACTGCTACACAGAATTTATTTTAAAATGTTATCTCTTTCCATGTTTGAAGCTGGACTGTCTTTCCAGAGGGATCTGCTTCCATCCGTGGTATCATGGTTCAAGGTACATGTGCCATGCCGTAGACACACTACAGAAATGTCAAAAGCCTACCACAAAGCACTATTTCAGAATATTCTTTTCTGAAAATGAGACAAGGTGTCATTTTGTAACAATGGTGCTTGTGAATACTTATGGCAGATGATTATTTAGTGTTAAACTATCAAACATCATTTTACCATTTCAATTTTAAAAACAATGAGGCAGCAGCATTTCTGAAAACCTGTAGAACTTTAAAACTCACCTTTAGAATTTTAATAATAAAGCATCTGAAAGTAACGGACTTAATCAGCTCCTTCAAAAACTAAATTAATCAATTAGCTAAATTTTTGCCCTTCTTATAAAAAGCCACGAAGTTTTACGTAAAATGTTATTTGTGTTCTAGAGCAAATTTTACAATGGTATCAAAATTTCAGCTATGCCAGAGCTCATTTGTCCTTTCCTGAAAGTTTGTAGAACTCACCACTAAGCCGTGCTTTGAAACAGAGTATTGCGCTAAACACTTTGAATATAGTTAAATTTTAAAAATGTGAGTCCATTTCTGTAAATTTAAATACAAGAACCCATGTGCACTAGGCACCAAGACAGACCAGTGATTAGACTTTAGAATAAAAATGTGGCTGTGCACTCACAACACATAAGGAAACCATATTCCACACACATACTCAGAGGAATGCATCACCCCTGCCAAAGTAAATCTGAACTAAAGCAAGAGCTCCGGGGTGTACGGTATGGTGACTGTCACAAGTCAGCGTTGCAGCTAAAGAACTCAAACTTTTCAGGCCTTTTCTGAGGCTTATTACAATCAGTAAGATCTTATTGTGCTTTCCTGTAACAACACCTACTCAGAAAGAAAATAAAAAAGCAAAACAAGACTTACAGTGTTGTTTTTGGATTATGCACTTCTATCACTTCTGCAAATGTGTGCCCTCTGGGACTAACGCAATAAACCTGATGGGCAGGCCAGCTCCCAGGGAATAACTCAACTTTGGAATAACGAATGCATACCACAGTTTACATGCCTTTCAGGAAATAATTTTAATTGGTCATCTACCACAAAGTCTTATTGTGAATTAAATATAGTAATTCTTACTCACAGACTGCAAGCGCTTATAATGTATACCTTGAGCTAAAAGTTGTCTGCCCTTGCAGAGCAATTTTTCAAAGAAACAGCATTCATTATATACGAATGCCTGCCTTTTTTTAAATGTATGTTCTGTCAGAATCTACTTTTAATCTATAGTTCTATATATTTATAAAAATGCATCTGGAGAGTAGTTATAAAATTAAAATCATGAATACAGATTTAATAGAAAGACCTCAGCACCTGTATCTGTGTCTTGCAGCATGCTAACATCCAGTTTGTTAATGGAGTTTGATTGTTAAAGGATTATTGCAACAGCCTTGCAAGTAACTTTAGCATAAAATTGACTCTGCTGCTCGCTCCCCATTTTATATTTAAGTGGAGACCATATAAAAATCCTATGGTTTATATTATGGAGTTTTCATATGGAAAGAAATGCAGCACAGTTCTTTGTTTCTATTTTTTAGCAGTATTTGATCATGAGAGGGGTAAATTTTGAAAGCTATCTGTAAATTTCTGCTGTAGTCGCAGTCTCCGCATTGCTAGAAACTACACATAAAATGTAAATATTTTTAGAATACACTTTGGGCTCCTGTGATATTTGTAAAACGCACGGAATGACTTAAGGTTCACCGTATACAGTGCAACACATCTATTCCTACTACTCAGTATTTAAAGAAGTCTATGTTATTTGGAATACAACACAATGCATCAGAGCATTCTTCAACAATGCAGTTTTCCAGTACTACAATTTCGTACGTGATTAGGAAAAAAAATCATTATAAACTTAAGAAATAATCTTAAGATATTAAAACAGTCAACTCTTGTAACAAAAATGCAGAGCAATCCTGAATTAGTTGTGTCTAACTGCCTAGCTGTTTGATATGCCGGAATCATTGAGTACAAGGCTCCTCCAGTTGTACTACAGGTGCCACAACGTCAATATATTCCACAAATATTTAAGTGACTTAAAAGAAAGCACAGCAGCAGAAGAGATGATGCAACTAAGCAGTTAACACCAAAAGATGAAAGGCTGCTTTATGTAAGCCAGAACTTCTAATGCTATTTCTATGGTGCAATTGCAGTTTTGGTTATCAGAAAGTAATGATACACAGGGCTGTACCACGCATGCAGAAGCGAACCTCAAAATGTTAAGACATGCTGCGTCCCATTCAGATATTTGATACTTCTCATAGACATGACAGAAAATAGCAGTTTTATGCAGATTGCATTGATAAAATCTTCACTTAGAACCATTACTGTTCAGCAAAAAAGAAAAAAAAAAAAGAAAAACCTAATCATAATGACTAGAAACCCCTTTCCATGTGTACACCTTCCATCGTAGCCGCGGTGCATGCATTTCAGCCTGAAAGTTGCTTTTGACTTTAACAGACTCCTAATATTAGCATTTATGTCTAACACAACCAGCAGCACTAATCAGAACAAAAAGTGCAGCAAAAATAGTGCCCTTGTGCTCCTGGAAAGTCCATTTTGCATCCTACTAAGAAGAATTCTAGTACCCTCCTGGAACTGAAAAGCATAATGAACTTTAACTTTTCAATACCTAAGTTGTTGAAAAGATACACCAAGGCCTAACCATTCAGAACCAACTTCAAAGCATGGCACTACTTTGTCCTCACACATGTCAATTTTGGAGAGCGAGAAACATCTTCAATACAGCTACTAGGCATATCTCCAAGAAAGTAAGAAGTTACTGATGACATTTAGGCTTGAAAAAAAGGTATGCAGTATGAACAAGAATGCAATGCAATGCAAGCTGACTCTTTGCTTTTTATAATACAGAAGAGATGAATGAAGAATAGAAATACTGCTTTTTTAATATTTTAAGACAAAGTACTTTCCTTGAACAGATGGAAGAACAATTAATGAGTATATAAAACAGCAATGGTTAGAAAGTCATAACTCCCTTGCCTCTGGCAGAAGACAAATTCCTTTTTTGTATAGATGCTTTTGCAGTTTCAGACACGTGTATGAGATCAATACATTTATTTGTCTTTGGTAAGGAGGCACAGTAAAAATGAAAATTCAGGTTTTGCAGACATCATCAGATACCAACTATAAGAAACAGGAAAAAATAAATACCCACCTAGCTTTGCCTCAGAAGTGTCCATCTCCCATTTGCTTTTCGGAATGTAACCCTAAATCATACACAGAGAGAAGCTCGGAGGATTAGAGAGAGACACACATGCATATCATTTTTGAACTGGAAACAGCATTATAATGGGAGCTTAAGGTATTTCTTTTTGTAAGGCACAATTCTTGTTATCAGATGAAGGAAACAAATTACTCGGTATTTCAGAACTTCTGCATCCACTTCCCATTCAGTGATTTTAGCAGCCCTTGCAAATCATTGCAAGAGTGCTGTCCTCTGCAAACACAGAACTCCGGAATGAGTCTAACAGACAGCAATGGTGCTGTGTGCACAGTTACTATATTATATTATCCCAGGTGGCAAAGTTATTGCAACACAACTTATCAGGCATAACGAATATTCAAAGCTTTACAAATACAAATGAAAAAGTTACCATAGTCATAAGCTTTTAAGAATATATTCCCTGATTTACGACACACAAGCATCATTTAATAATCCTTTCGAAGGGACATACTAAGTTCTTGTATGAGTGACTAGTCCACAACTAAACAAAAGTTTTTCTTAGTTTAAATGGGAGTATCTGCTGAATCACTAAGATTTCAGTATTATTTTTCTTTTTAAAATAACCCTCTTAGTTCAATGATTCTTTTACAACACTTTTTCCCTAAATAACATCATCATACGTTCTACATGTAATGATCTTTAGCTAGTTTATTCCTTGTAAATGAGCATAATGATATTAAATTTGGCAAAAAGGTGCTTATTTTAGGTATCTTCTTGTTATCTTTCGATTTAATACTCTTGGACAAGTAAATCCCTACTAAGCAACTCCTTGTAACTCATTTCAGCTGTTCAGATTTGGTATAAAACTACTTATGTTTCTCTGCAATCACGTAAAAAGCTCAATGCAGTGAAATGGAACCCCTGTGAGAATTTCGTTATTTTAAGAATGATTTTTAATAGAGAGGGAAAAGAACTACTCTAGAAGATTTCAACAAGAAAACAAACAATCCACAGACCTGTTTTATTACACTAACTTCTTTCCTGCTCTATTTATAGGTTGCCTCCACTGTGGTAAACATGTATGTGTATTTGTTAATTCTAAGGATTACTAAATCAGAGTGTACTATTGCAGAGAGCTACACTGCTTTTGATTATGTTCAGCATTGATCTTCCAAAATCCTTGAAAGACCTTTTTTATATCAAGCATATATCAGCAACTTAAGATTATCAGATCTCTGTATTTTATTGTTTTTAATCAAGTCTGTAATTAATACAAACTAAGACAGTTTGTGCTGCAATATTTCCTTGTAACAAATAAATAAACTTCATGTATATATGTATATTTATACTTCTAAACCAAGTTGCACATTAAAATTTGCTCAGAAAGTTTATACCACAGCTAGAATCCTGTATTGAACAAAGTGATGTGTGATACACTGGTGAGAACACTAAATTAAATGCATCAGTAATTCATACCATCAAGCACAGAAAAGCAAGAATTGTTTGAATGCTACAAACAACCCCATGGGAGTTGATTAATAGCAACAAAAGAGTGACTTTGATGGTGTGAAATGGCCTATTGTGTGCTGAATCTGTACAATATCCCGGTTCTCAGATAGGATAAGAAAAGATTCAGACTTCATCCTTTGGTACAAGACAGTTGGATATTTCAAGGACATCTGCCAGATGGCAGGAGCTTCAGACCTCTCTTTTTCCACAGGATTAAATGCAGCAAAATGAATTGAAGAACCCTTACCAACTGCTCTCAAGAAGGCAACAGATACCAAATACAGTGTACTGTTCCACCTTTCTGTCTGACATACCTCTGAGATTAGCCATGTGACTGAATAGCAGAGATTACATACAGCAGATCATTCTTTGCTAATTTTCATCTCTTGTGAATCTGAATAGAAAGCATTCTTACATGTAGATTACTTTTAGTTATTAATAATTTGCATAGTTTTCACCACCAAGCTTTCTCCTTGTCTCATAAAGAAAAGGCCTATTGTTATATGTGCTGTACATTAGGACACTCCCCAGAGCCCATAAACACAAACATACACACTCACACTTATGCACAGATGTCTCAAAAGCTGAAGACAAATTTCTCTTCTAGATATAGCTCATTTCCAAGAAATGAGACTAGCAGCCATATTCTTGTAAACATGGGTGCGTCTTTGAGATGTTCTAACCACACTTTATGTAGCCTCATACTCTGTGCCCAAGAGTAATTTAGTAAAGAGAATAAATGAGTCATGTTGCAAAAAACAGATGTTTATTAAAATCCACTCTTCCTAAGCTTTATTTTTTTATTCTGTATTTCAACCGCTTTCTAAACTGCCACTCCTGAGGAATAGTAAATTTTCATCAAGAAAAAGGGTTTTGCTCATCTCAGACATTTTTGGTTACTTCCTGTTCATTGGAGTTTAACTGCTTGGTTGTGGGAACCAGGGTTTGACACATTCAACTCATCAAGCACTGACAGCTGCAGCTCCAACACATACCAAGAAGTTACATCAGGAAGCCTTCCATAGCCTTTTAAATACATACCTAAAAACGTCAGCCCTCAGGGCAATTCTCTAACCTTCATTTATTCAAGAGACCTAATCGCTCATCTTGGAAATACCTACTGACAAAGTCAAAGAGCCTTGGCAGAGAAAGCATTCTTCTTCATAACTGTTGTCATATACTGTGACAGTCGAGAAGAGTTCTTTAGACACGTGAAAGGAAATAAGCTAAATTAATCTTTGCCCATTCTTCCCATCCCTCCACTTAGTGTAATTCTTAGATAATCTGGAAGACAGTGCTACAGTGCACTGCAATTTATAAACGTCTGTAAGAGGCACGTTGCCACACTCCACTGATAATGCTGTTTGTGGCATATACTCACAGATTCTTAAAAAAATTCAGTTAGGAATAATATGATTTAACATTAAAGTTCTCCTAGAAATATTTAAGGAACAAACGGCTAGAAATGTGTGTATTAAGATCACACTGCTAAGAATGGCAATGGGTTGGCATTTATAAGACTGAGATTCTCCCTCAGACACATTAACAAACATTTTGTTAGAGATGGCTGATGTGTCTCCTACCAGTTCACTTTCTTCCTCCTCTGCTGTGTCCTTCTTGACTTCTTCTTTCTGGTCTTCAATATTTGCATCAAAATCCTCCATCTCCACCTGTTTCAAAGCACAACCACAAACTTACAAGGCCCTGCTTGACTTCTAAGTATTATCTTTTTAGCAGAGTGAGTAGAAGATTCCAAGTTCAAATAGAAGAGGAAAGAAAGCATTCATCTTGGAATGTATGATGATGCAATATATATGAATATTGGCTCCATTTTGGCTTCCCTCAGAAGCATGTTCCTTTCTAGCTACAGAGTGACAAACTGTGTGGGAAAGTAGCAATCGTTTATTCTCTTCCTTCACGTGCATTCTTTGTGCTACAAGTATCTGTAACAGAAAGATAGTTCTCTTGCTTCCCACGCCACCACATTTCAAAACTTGAAATCTCAGAAAAAGATCTTAAACTTGCCATTTACACATCACTGGAATGGCGCGCTCTGCATAGAACATCCCTATCAAGCTTTTATCTTTTATATATTTAAATATCACAGTGAAGAATAATAACCACAGAGAATAACATAATAAAAAAAATGGATGCTTTAAGACATACATCTAACCCTGCCCATCTAATGGAATACTTTCTGGGGTCCACATCTCTAACGGGGATTCATGTGTATACTGTGGCGTACCTAAAATTCTCCAAGTATGCACAGTTCTTCATTACCATTTGTAAAACCTTGATGCACACATAGTAAATCCCAAATCTGCCCTTCTCTGAGTCCATTTAAGAACTGAACCTTTTGCTGTCCTCTTAAAGATTACTACTTACTGCTACAAAGAATTTGGAGACTGCTGACCTCATGACAAACTGCAAAGAGTAAACTCTCTTCCTACTTCAGCAGTTCACCAGCTTCTATGGCCATGGCAAGAGCTGTTCTGACAGCAACATGCAGCTGTGGTACTTTCACGATGACCATACAATTAACTACTAATTTATTCCCACAGCTCCTGAAACATCTGCCAAAGAAGAATGCAACAATACAGAAAGCTGACACACCAACGATGCATGTCACGGCAAACTGCAAATAGAATAAAAAGGTGGCATGCTTCTACAGCAAGTGTAACCTTACGCTACGTTTTATTTATTTATTTATTTATTTTTTCATTCTCTGCTACAGGTCTGTATTTCTCAAAGCAGAGACCATGAGGAGTTCAAATTTGTTTATTTACTTATTTATTTTATCAAACTACTTCCTCAAATTATGACCCAATTAATCCAGTAACCTGAAAAAGTGCTGAGTTTCATCTGAGACAGCAAAGATCCTCTTTAATTGGTACTCAACAGTTGCTAAAGAGCAAAGCGGCTTCAACTCTTCCTTAAAGATGCGTAAGTCTGGGCTCCAAAAAGGTGATAAAAAGTAATATGTACCTTCATGTTCGGGTAATTGATAAGAACAATGGAATACACTTGCCTGACACAGCGATTCTGGCTTTCTACAGTGCCAAGTATAACTGCCCTGTTGTGATCACACCTTTCTCTGCTTTGTATTTTCAGTATGGTCACATCTACATAATTTGTAATTTTAACAAGCACAAAGATTCTCACCTCTTCGATAGCAGCATCCTGCAACAGAGAACGAATGTCCAGGCGCATCATGTGACGTGGTGCTGCCTCCCAGTGATCAGACATCTAACAAAAAACAAACAAAAATGAAGCACCTCTAAAAACGTAACAGATTCAATGGAAAATTGGGTTTCTGATCACAAACAAGATGTATCTCTACTTAAGAAATTTCAATCAATCCCATGAAAAAACTACCAACTCTTCTTAGAGCAAAAGTGTAAGCATTATGTAGTCTAAAAGAGGCCACTAGTTTTCCAACAACAGCAGGCCTGAAAGCACAACAAAACCTATCATTAATCCTATGACTCCAGATTTATACAGTTACCCTGCTGATTTCCTTTAGCTTGCGTCCATGAATATTCCTCTTGGAACACGTCTGGTTATCTGCACTCATTTCAGCTAAGTACACCTAGAAAGAGAGAGACAATATGAAATATTGTAAATCAAGTTTTAGAGCTCTTTTTCTACCTGGTGATACACTCTGCAGTTGTACATTCTAAGAAAGGTAAATTTGTAACTGTAGACCACAGCATTTTTCCTGAATGTGGGAGGGACTTCGCATTCAAAAGTTTAGAAATACCAGCATATGGGTGCTAGCAAGTTTAAATGCTTTTTAGGCTCCATTACCTCAAAACCCTTGGTTTTTGCAGCACTCCAAAACTGTTCAAAATGTCGCACTCTATCATTGATAGCATCAAGGATAATGAAGGGGAAGAAGCCATCATCCAAGGTCTTTTTGAAAGTTTTAAACATGCTGGTACGATAGGTCTCTTCCATATCAGCTTCATATTCATACTCCATCACCTTTATCAAGGACAAAAGCATTTAAGAAAGAGGACACCTATTAAATTGCTAATGTTCAACTGCTGAATGTCATGACCACAAAGTACACTGGTATGAGAAAAACATCTTCCAGGTCAACTTTTAAGAATTTGCCCACTCTGCCCTTAAGTTATATTGACTTGTTTTGAAAAACAGCCCACAGGTCTCTGCACTATTCCAAAGCCACAGACTGAAATTCTGATTGCCACTGTGTTGTTCCAGAATGTCTTGTTTCTTTGTCAAGATAAGCAACTGAATTAAAAGTACCTTCTTTTTCACTTTTTTCCCTGTATCTGGGTCTCTCTCTTCTTTTTCCACTTCAGTGATAAAATAGTCATCCAGGCTGAGCACTCTTGGTGCGGGTCCTCCACACTCTACTTCCTTATCCTGGGAGGAAAGCAAAAAGAAAACATATACTCTTGCTGTAAAAATTCCATTCTGCTACAGAGGATCTTCAAAACACTTCTGGCAAACAGCAATTCCCTGCTCTATATTCAAAACAAGAAGAGAGCAGTATCCCTCATGCTTGCTAATAGTGGAGGGGATTCACATGCCATATGAAGACATGGAACATGAAATAACAATAGGCTGAAATTCCAGACAAACAGAAAGAAAACAGCAGAGGAAGTGCACGTAAAAGACAAGCAGCACTACACAGTGAGTGGTTGTTTACATACCCTGATGAGTTTTGCTACATGTGTCTTTCCACTGCCAGGCAACCCTCTCATTATGATTACAATCTGAAACAAAGATCATGTAAGAAGATAGGATACTGTACTACATTTAACAGAATCTCTTCTGCAAAAATTTTCTTCTAGAAAATTGTGTGCTCTGGGCTCACACTTTTGCATATCATCAAGCAAAGCCAGTACCATGCCTCACTACCTATTTTACAAACTATGTTGTAAGGAATGATAGTAGTTCCACAGAATAAGAGTATATGATGTTAATCATCTCAGCAGTTCATACTGCATAAGATGTTACAGATCTGGTTCAGATAAAATTAACTGAATGAAACTTGTCTAAATGTTTTATAGCCTGAATCTTGTTCTTTCTTATTTTATATGGTGCATTGCCAAATCTCTGACTCTCTGTAAAGCCAAGTCTTGCCTCTGATACATCAAAAACCCAAGTGAAGATCCCAGAAGAGTCTAACATACATTAACATTACCCACTAATAAAAATTTCATCTTACCTTTCCCAGGAAGTTTACATCTCCTGTTGACTCCTAATAGCTATGCTACAACACTCTAGGCATTTGCAAAGGAACCAAGAGAATTTCCAGAGCTTCCTCAAATGTAGGCTTGTTCCCAACACATTACACTCATTTATCTAAATTTTATCTGAATACAGACCTCGTAGAAACCAATTGTCGCTTTCACAATGCATACTCACCCTCTCCGGCCTGCTATCTCGTCCTGGTGGCTTCAAAATATCATCTACATTTTTAGATTCTGGCTTTCTTTCCACTCGTGGAGCAGGTGGTGGCTGACGGGGCATTGATGGAGCAGAAATAGGAATCCTTTCCTCAGGGTAATTTCTACGATCACCTTCAAATTCCAGTGTTTGGACAGAAGAATTTTCTTAGTTCAGTAAAATAAAAAAATTAAGATGTTCATACCCAGCTGAGCTGATTTAAACAGACCTTCATTATTTTAGGATAAATTCACAGACTTGTCCCCAAAATAATTCAAATTTCTTATCTTGAACCTATTGCAACCAAAGACATTTTTTAGCAGAGTATGTAACTGTGGTGTAACTGATCTCATCACCACTAAGAAACAAAACTACATGACACCACCCAAATCAATTTTCCTGAATTATATATTCTGAACAAAGAAATACAGAAAATCAATTAATCTCCCAATTAATCTTCACCGCTGTGAGTCCATATTTTTCATAATATTCTGGCATGGCTTCGAGATTGAGAAACTGTACCTCCAAACATGGAAGGCCCATGATCATATGCTGGACGATCTGTCTTTCGTTCATATGGTGGTCTTTCAAAACCACCTCGCCTGGACGAAGGATGGTCTTTCTTGTCACGGTAAGACTGAGTCCTTGAAGGTGTAGTAGGAAGAACCCTGCCAAAAGAGTATTTTGCGTATTTCTAGAATTTCTACTATGGATTCCAGAGAGAAATGAACATGTACCTCACAGGCAAAACAGACAGCCTGATACCCAATACAGCCTGAATTGTACTGGTTTCAATAGTGTTCCGAAACCACCTACCTATCATCTCGGGGATGCCGCTCTTTTTCAAATCTCTCTCGTTCATAGTCCACAGGACCACGGTCTCTGTGTAATTCCCGCTCTCTCTTGAAATCCCGATGATCTGTGTTGGAATTACCTTGACGCTCAAAATAAGGCTCACGGTCTCTTTCTCTGTTGTAACGACCTGGGTGCTCTGAAAGGAGAAACCCATGGAAATCCAAACGACTAAAACAGACTGTGAATTTTTTATTATTTTTGAAGGAAAAGCAACAAGTGCAAGAAAAGTATATAGAAACATATGATGTGAGGGCTCGAATGGACTTATCAGCCACTGAATCTCTTTTCCAAACTGTAATAGACAACCATACCATGAAATCCTTAAAGCTTAAAGCTATGAAACTGAATTTTTAAAGTGGCTAGGTCATTGACTGCATTACTGCTCTTGACAATATAAACTGTTATTCTTATAGGCCTCTGAATAAAATAAAGTAGTCCTAGCTTAAACAAGAGTTACTTAGTTTAAAATATGCTTTTACTGCCTTACAACTTTTCTTAAGAGCTAACTAACTGTCTGAGAGCTAGCCAAGCGTTCCCTACCTTTTTGAAATGTTTGCCTCTCCGGCAGAGGTTCCGGACGCAGGGTTACCCTCTCCCCATATGAAATCTGTTCCACTTTACTGGTGGTTATATCTGGTTAAAAATAATAAAAAAATTATCAAGGTATTAAAATATCCTTCTTCCATTTCCTTTCCTCTGTCATGAAAAGCAATCAGTCAATGGCATTAGAAGTGACTGGAATAACTTACCAGAATTTCTTTTAATGGATAATGCAAAAAGAGCTATACATAAATACACAACACCATGGTTTTGAATGTCTGAAGTGGGTTTGTGTGTGTGTAAGTATGTGTACCACTTTATTTTAAGAATGGGACTTCTGCCTTTTCAGATGAGTTCAGGTAGCACACATGGTCAGAAGATTATAAACATTAAAATGCTCTGGAAGTTTCAGTAACTCACAGAACTACTTGACTAATGTCAAGAATATTAACTGAAACGCTCACTTTACGTTCCCAACAGTGATAATTTTTCTAACAGCTTTTAGTAAAACATCTACTTAATGAAATCGATATGGCTTCAATTCATGTTATGGCACCTTAGAGAGAGAAAAAACACTCTCTAAATGGCAACGCACAATTTAAGAACTTCTTTACGACATGCTTTCACTCCTGTGAAAACTCCTGTAAAAACCAAGAATGAGGGAAATGAATTCTATTGAAAAACTAGTGTTGAATTTTAGCTTTGATAAGCTCAAAACTAAAAATCAGTGCCCTTCACTGTTTATGTGTTAAACACCTATTTAGGGCGCATGTCTTTCAGAACTAGAACTTGTCTCCCTCCCTGTCTAGAGGGTATCTCACACCCATTAAGCAGTATATAAATAATGCTAACACCAGTCACATTCTGGTTTAAAGTACTAAGTCACACCTAAGAACCGTAACAATCCAAAGTACTTTCTAGCACAGTTATTTCCATACTCAGCTACAAAGGGATTAAGGGAAAGTATCGATATCAATGTAAATATAACACATTGACGTGATCACATCAGTTGGTGTTTATGAGAAGCAGACGTGGCTATACACCATTCAGTTCACATGAAACAGCTCATTATCACACCACTGAAGAAAACATTAAACTCAAGGCTGGAGGTTACAGGCTCCTTAAAACTGCATTGCTTAGCATGAGACCGCAATGTATGCAGCCTGCGGGTCAACTGCAGAACATCTATGGCATGCTTTGGGTGGCACACTCCTTTAGAAAGAAGCTAGGAGGACTAATTAGCTTTCCGTTACAGATCAAACAAATACACTGTAATACTCACCTCGTCCGTGGCCATAATCCACAGTTTGCTGAATTACAGGTGCTTTAGGAACCGGTGGAATAACTGGAGGAAGGGACACTGGTACAGCTGACGGAACAGAGGTGTGAACAGCAGGTACTTTCACAGGTGAGGAGGTGGGTGGAGGCATCATTGACTCCTGTTTACACAACTCATACTCCATATTTGCTCCTTTATCCTCATTTGTGTCCCAGAGTCCGTGGAAAGAATCCTCATCCCAGCGTTCCTGTTCCACAGCAGAAGGTGATGGTTTTAAAGACTGACCATGACTTGGGGTTGTAGTTGGAGTAGAAACTGGAGCATGTGGCCTTGTCATAGGTGTAGCAGGCCTTGTCAGTGGGGCACTTGATCTTGTCACAGGGGTGGGCTGTCTGAACAACACGGGAGGCTTTATAATAACAGCAGGAGAAGGTTTAATAGCTTGGGCTTCTACTGGTGCCTCTGAAGACAGCTGAGAAGAGACCTAGATGCAGAAAGCACTTTTAATGTAGATCTGTAAACTAACCTTCTCTCATCCTCTGTAAGTCAGCAAGCACAATGGCAACTGGTAATCAAGTCATAAGCACTTTCTAGTACCTCCATCAAGGTGCTACAGGTAGGAGGACAATATTTCAAGAATGGTGGCCTGAATTAATTTGGTGTTCACTATGTGAAGGCTTAAATACTATTTATTTTCTCCTTCAAAATAACCTTACCAATTTACGCTCCAGTAGGCCTATCTCAGTTCAAAAGTGTCTATGGTTTTATTCCCAAAGACTTCTGCTGTCTGCAAAGATTCCTGC